TAAAAGAGGTGATAAAAGATACAGGCCAAAAATACATGCATGTGAATCTAGTGATAGAATTATTGGTTTTATTACAGGCTTTTTCTAACAGTGGTCGTCATCATTAGCTTTGTACAAATGTGAATAACTTTGCATTGTTCTGTCTGTCGCCACCCACTGTTCCGTTCTAACTTGCAATTATTTCGAACTCAGGGTGAAAGGGTTCAAATATGCCATTACGTTCATGCAAAATTGTTCTATGTTAGATTATCAAAAATGCAAAGGATTAAAGGTGATGTTTGTAAAATTAGAATATTGTTCAAAAGTCTATTTGCTTCTATACATCAATTTACAATGTGTAACTAATACATGTCAGAATTATTACAAGCAAAGTGAGACATAAAAAGCCTTTACATATGTGTTATATACTGTATGTTGACGGCCGACAGCTAATTAGTAAGTGAGTAAGTTATATTTTTTTATATAGCGCCTTTCACCACTTAGCACTGTACAATTGTTGTGGGCATTTGTCTCTTACTCCACATAGAGATGGGAGTGTACACGTTTTTAGTGGTAGGGGAAACCGGAGCACCTGGAGGAAACCTACACAGACAATTAGTGTGCCCTAACCCTATCCCTTACAGTAGTTGAATAAGGCCATGTAGAAAAAGGACTAATGAGTGCTTAATAAATACCAATTCATCTTTAAATATACACTAATTAGCACTTAATTAGTTGTAAATTAGTTAGGGCTAAACTTAAGTGTGACCAAAACCCTGAATAAAATATCTCAAAATATTCTGGACCGTAAAAATTAACTGTAAGCCATAATCATCAAAAATATACTTTGCATTGAATGAGTCTACTCTACAGTATGTCATATGTTGCAGGGGTCTCCAACCTGTAGCTCAGGAACCACCATTAGCTCGCCATCCCCTTCCAGGTAGCTCACCAGAATATTTAGAAATGAACAAATTAAATAATACACCTAATATTTCAGATTGTACATGCACTTAATTTGTGCACTAGTAACTAATCTGCAATGGCAAATAATGCCTGTTCCCAATATCAGGCTTCTTTACACCAATATATCATCAATTTTTTCCCAGGGCCACTTAAAGGAGAAGTTCTCTGCCTTTATCGTCACGGGAAAATAGCTCTCTTAGTGAAAAAGGTTGGAGACACCTGATATACTGGTGTCACATTGTAAGGTGAATTACAGAAGTTAATTAATTTTGTACAATATTATAAATTTCCGAATTTCACCTGTATACGAAAAGAAATATGTGTTTTCCTGGAACCATGCTGGACCCGGCCCAGCATAAGGACAATGAGTTTATAGAGATGCAACTCAGACTGAGAAATTTGGTCTGACCTTTGCAAAAAACATAACAAAATGACATTCTTCCAAAAAGTCTCCTTCTCCTTCAGCTCTGGTTTGACTGTTGGTAACCCACTGCTGGTAACCCACTGCTGGTAACCCACTGCTGGTGTCAGGGGCTGGGTGGTGGAAGATGCCAGCAGACCTTTCTTGTTTCTAATGCCCTTTTGTCTGTGAACTGGTTGGGACCTGCTGTAAGGGAGGAGCTCATGGCCTCAGCTTTACGCGCTCTGCTTCTCCCCTCCTGTGTTGTTCTTGTCCTGTAGATATAAATATAGACAGGCTCTCTCCGTGTTTGCATAGGCGTCTATTTTAAGCCAGGCCAAAACGTAAGCACCAACCTTTGACATGATTGATCCACGCAATACGTAGATTTCTTTCAAAGACTTGAAATGTATTTTAAGAACTTCTATGGGTACAAGTTAATGCGTCTTAACTCACAATTTCTTTGAATCTTTGGTGCAGAATTTTGTTTTTTTTCTCTTGATTTTTGCCTGGACCTGTGTGTGTTAGTGTGTGTTTTGGTGTTCATTGTTTTTTTGATTTTTATATGTTTTTTAAATATCCATCCCTACAACAAGTACTGAGTCCACAAAAATGCTAAGAAAAGGAATTGATTGCGTTTATGTTTTTTAATTCTATTTCAGTTGGTTCAAATAACCTAGAAGCCATTTTGGATAGCAAGGTTGAAAAATAAAAGTCCAAAGGTTTTCCTAGATCATAATTATCACATGGATATTATTCTTCTGTCGGAAAGTCCTTTTTACTGGTCTATATCATACATATAGTTTTTGTCATCGTTGCGAGACACCTGAGAAAAGAGATAGACAGTTTTTGATTCCGGTTTCCAGTTTGTGGATAGGCCCTGGAATTACAGAGAAATTAGCGATATACTTTTGACAGACAAGACAGATTTTGACTGTACCCAAGGGATGACACCTGATTGCAACCTGTTGGTAAAAATGACCTCAAAATTCTAAAGTGATTTGACAGAAATGGTGTTGGCAAATTGTATGACAGTGCACACATACACTGCAAAAAGTGAGTTAAAAAATATGGCAAAATGTATCTTATTTTGAGTACATATTGACTGCCTTAAAACAATATTTATCAATAGGACAAGCAAAATTATCTTAAGATTGAAAGAAGACTAAATGGCTTTGTCCCATTGGCAAATCATGTTTTAAGACAGTCAGAATGTTCTCAAATTAAGATTAAAAAACACTAACATGTATTACCTCATGTTTTATTTGCAGTGTATTTCAGGCAATTTGATTCAGTTATTATTTTAAGTGTGTTTTTGCTTCACCGATTAGCCTTCTACTCTCACTGGAACCACGACTTGTGCAAGACCTCTTCCTAAAGGTTCAAAAAGCTCTTGATTGAGTCTTTTAATGATAGGGCTGTCAGATGTGCTCCTTCCTCTCATCTTGGTGGAAGATCCAGATCTGTGTGAGTCACTCCTTTGCTATGTCAGACAGACAAACCGAGGTCCTGCCGCTGTTGGCTTAATTCAGACACAAGGCCATTGAAGTCTGGGCTTCGCTGCCGCCTCCATGAGCTCAGCCCCACAGACGATTATAGACAGGAGGTACAGACATGTGACAGCTCAGTTTGAGGTGGCCTTTCATAGACGTAGGCGCTGAACTGGCCTCAGATCAATCATGGTTACAAGCAGTCAGTCAATAGTCCAGTTGTTGTTGCGTGCCAGTGTAATATGGCTCATCCGTATATTATCATTTTTATTTTATTTGTGGAAGTGTGTGTTTAGCGTGGGTCATCAGAGAGTCTGCACTGCAAAATAATGATACAATATGAGGTAATAAAGGCTTAAATCAAGTGTTTTTTATGTTCATTTGAGCACATTTTGACTATTTTAAAACAAGATTTGCCAATGGGACAAAGCCATTTAGTTTTATTTCAAGAACTGTTGCTTTATTTTCTCATTCCAAGGGAGAAATTTCTTGTATCGTTTTAAAACAAGATAATTTTGCCTCGTCCCGTTGGCAAATCTTGTTCTAAGCCAGTCAGAATGAGCAATTGTTGACTTATTTTTCATTATTTATTTGCAGTGTTTGCTATAGATTTAGATCCTTTATTCGTCCCACAGTGGGGAAATTTCAGTGTTGTATCACCGGCTACAGAGCAGTGGGATGGAATAAGGAGCACACAACTCAAGAAGAATTAACAATAACTCTATCCTAAAATACAATAAACTCTCTAGCTTTAAATAATAAAGATGCAAGTATAAAATCTCTAGCTTTAGCGTAATGAAGAAGCAAGAATTATTAAGTATTAAGTCTCTATCTTCAAACTTCATGTAAAGTTTAAAGTTGCCGATCAACTTCCCCAAACTGTGACTGGTCCGGACAATTTTCTTGTTCATAGTCTCGGCCCTCCTAACCACGCTGACATGAGGTCTTTCAATGCACTAGATAAAAAAGATGAATATGATTTATGATTCTGTTTTGGACCCGCACATATAGACTGGGACAAAGGTGGTCAGACTGGGGTGGTCAGACTGGTTTTAGGACAAAGAAAAATTAGAGGCATTTCCATGAGCTCGCCAGGGGTCAGTCTCTACTAACCCAAGTAAACCGTACTGTACCTGCCCAAGCGTTCTGGGCCTCTTCGATAACGAGAAAAAAGCCAAAAAGCCGAGGAATGATGATTTCTCTCTCAACTCTTCTTGGTCAACTTAATCGCAAATGTTATGTTTCTGTCAAATGTTCTGTGTTTGTCATTTAAATTTAGAAAACCAAATGCAGAAAAAGATTACCATTCAATTAAATGTGTTTTTGTATAGCCTTAAATCACTACAGCGGCTGTCTATAGGAGGACTTTACAACATTGTCGATTCCTCAACAACAGATCAAAGAAACATACAATTCCAACTGAGAAAATGCCGGAAATCATAATTTAGTGGAGCACATTCACACGTTACATTTGTGTTTTTTTTAACTGACAAAAGGAAAGTTGTTTTGACAGTTGATATGAGCTGAGATGAGCAAATTTGGCACTACAACAAGTCCTATGAGAGAGATGACTGAAGAGAGATATGAGGTGAAATCTTAATTCCCCTGAGGTCTAGACAGTGGGGATGAATGGAGCCACAAGAGAAGATTCTGCTGTGTACGAGGACTGCATTTAGTTGAATATGGACAACTGTGCGCTCGCAAACCTTGATTAGGAAACAGCAGGGATGTTGCATTGATTTGGGATGATGCCTAATGTGATATGAAACTTGGGAAGGGAGTGAAATTGTTTTCACTCTTTCCGTCTGAAGTTTGGCTATAGCTTATTTTAGCTGCATTCACTGCACAAGAAATCATAATGCATTTGGTGGAGCTACTTTTTCTATTTTTCCAAGAATTGAATCACAAATGTACTTGGTATTTAGTTATTGTTCATTTATCTTTCTCACTGTGAGACTGATAAAGGATCCCTTAAATAATCTTAATCTTAATCTTTTTTTATGTCGAGACAACAGACAGATCTTGTGTCTTGAATGTGGTGGTAAATCCCCATTAAGAATATTATCAAAGTCTCTTCCACTGACGATAGTTTTTCATCTGTGCTTTTTTCTGGAGGGTTAGACGCTGTGAAACTACAAAATTGAATGCCTTTTTGTGTTTTGCAGCCACTCGGGAGTCCTCCTTCGTCCACGCCATCGCCTCAGCTGGGGTGGCGTTCGCGGTAACCCGGGCCTGTGCGGAGGGATCAGCCACCATCTGCGGCTGCGACACTAGGCACAAAGGCCCCCCCGGAGAGGGCTGGAAGTGGGGCGGCTGCAGCGAGGACGTGGAGTTTGGAAGCATGGTGTCCCGCGAGTTTGCAGACGCCAGGGAGAACCGGCCGGACGCACGATCAGCCATGAACCGCCACAACAACGAGGCGGGGAGAGTGGTGAGCTATTTCTCTACTACACTGCAAAAAGTGATGACAAATATCGTCAAAAATTGCTCAAATTTGGTAAAATTTATCATCATTTGAGAACTTTTGACTGGATCAGAGCAAGATTTGCCAATGGGGAAAGCTACATTATTTTTGTTTGGAACAAATACAAGTCAGAATGTACTCAAATTAAGATAAAATACACTCTGCTATTTATGTTTTATAACTATGGTAACTGTCATAAGTGAGACTTTTAGTCCTAGTTTACAATATTTTTTTCTGGACCAATCTAATCTTGATGCAAGATGAATTATTGCATGTCTGCTTGATAATCCATGCATTTGAAAATATTTTTTGTAAAATTATTTGTGTCAGGCTTCGACCAATCCACATCAAACTCAAACTGTCACACCTTCCCTGTCATTTAATGAACTATGGGTCAATTATTTTCTCAAAGTTGTTTAGAAATGGTGACAATATTCAAAACACATGGGTTTGTGAATCACGTCACTATCAAATAACAATCTGGAACACCATTGCTTTTTAAAATTTCTTTCACAAAAAGCTTCTTTCCTATAGAGTTATGACGGCATCTTCCCTCCAATCAAAATAGAATTCTTCAACATGAGCACCACCTTTTATTTATTTTATTTATGTATTTATTTGACAGGGACAGTTCAAAAAAACATTGTCACCCACAGGTAACCGATGTGAAGTACACAAGGCTTTGAATAACATACAAAAAACATAATACAAATTTAAAACTTTATTTCTCTTTCTCCAGTCCGTGAACGACAACATGTTCCTGAAGTGCAAGTGCCACGGCCTGTCGGGCTCCTGCGAGGTCAAGACCTGCTGGTGGTCTCAGCCCGACTTCCGGGTGATCGGGGACTACATGAAGGACAAGTACGACAGCGCCTCGGAGATGGTGGTGGAGAAGCACCGCGAGTCCCGGGGTTGGGTGGAGACACTCCGACCCAAATACAACTACTTCAAACCCCCCACGGAGCGCGACCTGGTCTACTACGAAAACTCCCCCAACTTCTGCGACCCCAACCCACACACGGGCTCCTTCGGGACACGCGACCGGGTCTGCAACCTCACGTCCCACGGGATCGACGGCTGCGACCTGCTCTGCTGTGGGCGGGGTCACAACACGAGGACAGAGAAGCGCAAAGAGAAGTGCAATTGTATTTTCCACTGGTGCTGCTACGTCAGCTGCCAGGAGTGCACGCGGGTCTATGACGTGCACACTTGCAAATAACAGTCATCCCTGCTTGCGGTTTGTATTCACCAAAATGTCAAAAGACCGGTGGGCAGGAGGGACCGTATTAACCACGGCGGGACAGTGAAGCAGCGGCAGACACGAGTGCTTTGTCTTCTCTCACTTTGAAGCTGAAAGGAGTGGGACTGCCTTAATCTACCGGAAAAGTTACTGGTGGACGACACAGATGAGCCAGAGCCAGTAAAGAGTGTTGACGTATGTGTAAGACTTTGGTAGACTGATGGACAAACACCATATTGGTGAAGATTTATATATATCTTTTTCATCTAGTTACTATGTTGTGCTCCACTGCTAACCTTTTCATGTGTCCAACTTCTCCCTAAATTGTATGAGAATGCATTGCGTTTCCGTGCATATCCTGGCATGTGTTTCAGGACTTGCACTCATCAAATTCTTTCTCGACATCGCGCAGTGTCCTGTTTTGGTTTTCATCAAATCAATGAATAATTGTTTTGCGCCTCTGAGAACACACACTTAGAATGGTCTGAAAACACGTGTCCTGGTGTGCTCTGAAAATTAGAAAATTGTTCATTTACTTCTGTATTTCAACTTACAATATGAGACTCTATGGAAGAATCATTGCATGCAAAGTGAAATATATCAAGCCTTTAATTGGTATAATGTTGATATTTATTGCTTACAGCTTCATAAAACATCTTTGAAAACTAAAATGGACTCAAAGCCAAAATCATCACAATGATTTTTAACAACAGCTGGGCATATGTCACTTTGCACATGAGTTTTTTTCATATTTTGTTTCACAATTGAATTGAATAACAGATAAAATAAAAATAGATAAAGATTTTAAACAACATTCTAATTGTCAGAGTTTTGCCTGCACATAAATGCCCTGGACATGTGGGTAAGAATGCACTTGCTCCTGAGTGAATGTAGGTATGACACTGTTTACATGCGCTCTAAGCTAACAAGTTCATGGCTATAGCAAGCATGTCAAACTAAGGCCCCCGGCTCAAATACGGCCCGCGAGACCATTATAGTGGCCCCTGAAATTATTTTCAATTATTATTATTACTTTACAGCATTAATGGGCTACTACCTTATAAATCATTTTATTTTTCCTTTTATATTTATTTCCAATTTTAAAGCAAATGTTCTCAGAAAAATATCCTTTGTATTATTATAAGAATTTAAAAAGGAAACCATCGGCCTATCAGACTTCAATTACATCTCCTCTTTATATTTGGTTCATTTTTGGTTTAATTCAATCAATAAATATTAAAATAGTTACAGTAAAAAAAAATCTCTTGTTCTTTACATTTGGCCCCGAGCAAAATGAGTTTGACGCCGCTATTCATAAAATAATGAAATATTGCTGAAAGAGACGAATGCTGTGAGTCCCTCGTTGTCTTCTGTTTCTGACCAAAGATGAGATCTGTGCAGATGTGCACTTGTTTCCATGGTAATGATGATGTTAATGTTTTTGTCAGTATTAGCTTACACACTTACACACTTCCTTTTCATTTGGTCTGATCGACTGTTCTTCCTGAACATAGAATAACAAGCTAATCTGTTACATAAGCTCTGAAATGCAGTAAAACGTGACCAAAACCTGTGGGAGATGATTGTGAACTGAACCAGCAGCATCACTCAGCTCTGTGTCCTAATGCTGCTAAAGTGTGTGCAGGTGTTAAACCCGGCATGTCTCTGTGTGTGTCTGTGTGTGTCTGTGTGTGTATCTGTGTGTGTCTGTGTGTCTCTGTGTCTCTGTATGTCTGTGTATTTGTACACATGTATCTGTGTCTGTGTATACATACATGTATCTATCTATGTCTGTGTATATGTACATGTATTTGTGACATGATTCTTTCTGTGAAAGACGTCTATTTTTATAGTTGAACATAATGTGAAGTTTTGACTAATTGTGTTTGTAATATTCATCTTAACATCGTAGACCAATGTTTTTGTTTTGAGTAGTTGTGTCAAGTTTAGTGATTTCTACTGTTCCCCTGTATTTCAAATATAAGATTATTTATTGTTTGGAGCCTGGTGATAAACTACTGAGATAAAACGTCTACAACGATTGTGCCATTTGACTGCTGTATCAGCATTGTTGACGAGTCACTGTTTACGGCCTTGTGCTGCTGTGTCTCAGGCCTGGGTTTCAATTCAAGATCCCTATCAAGTTATTTTATCTGCGGAAAGACAGCTTCACTGGTCCACACTTAGGTCATTCCTTCTCCTAATACTTTTCCAAGCATCAACATCCTTTTTTAATCCAAAGGTTTGTACAGACTAGTTTGTTTTCATGGATTGTATGTGTTGTTTTTTTATAATTATTTATTCTGTGCTCTGTATATATTAGTAAATGTAAGTATATATTTGTATAAATCCATTTAAAGCAGTGTTGAGACTTTAACACTGTAGGCCTTTTACCTCATCTTTGTCCATTCATTGCTTACTGCTGTTCAGCTGCCTGTCGTAGAGCTCTAATGTTAACACTGTAACACCAAAATAAAACTTCAGATACAACTACCTTTTCTTATGGACATATTCTTGAGCAATAATAATTTATTTTTCGGTGGAGAACTATGATGAGTCTGAGAGTGATTCTCTGTGTGCTGCTCAGTGCGATTATGGGCAGTTACATTGTGTGGTAATCCAGCTCAATGAACACATTATTTATATACCATATTTATATTCTAATCATTATAATATTGTTATTCAGGCTGTAATTGACTTTTATTAGAAGTTGGACGATTATTCTTTGGATTAATAAATTATATGATTAGATTTCAAAAGCCTTGAGTGTTTTTGAGAAAATCCTCACTATTCAAACCAGTGCATTAATGTAATAAGAAAGCATGAACTTTTGCTCGAGGATAATGTTTTAAGCTTACATTAAAGTGCACGGTGGGACAATGATAGAAGCCAATACAAGGCTAATAAAACGGCAAACCTCTCTAATTCTATACACAGGACACAATAAGAAGAGGAACACGTTGGTGTCTGGTTTAAAGGAGATCTCCTGCTTGTGGAAGATCTCAGAGCAGATTATAGCAGTGCATGTGAATAGATCTCCCCAGTGCACCAGCTCAGCCCTGGACCCCTTACAGTCCCCGCAACAATGTCCCCATCAAAGGCCTCCTAACCCTATTACCACAAAGAGATGGTACGTTTAAGATGGCAAAGAAATGCTACAGGGTTTGTATATGGAATGTTGGGAAAGAAATATATAATATCTGCCGTGTTTAGTTGCTTTTAGAAGCCATCAGGAGAATTTACTTAAAACAAAATAGATAGGTGACTTCTCTGTCTGCATGCATCCTTCCAATGGCACTATAGAGTGGCCTGAATCCAGATGTTGTTGGAGGGCATTTAGCTGGAGGATTTTTAACCAATGATGGGTGTTTTTGGGGGGTGGGAAAACTAGAGCCCGAGGGATATCCACAAAGACATGGAGAGAAACATGTAATTGGGGTGGGAATTTTCAAGATTTTAATTCCTCCCAAATATTGTGAATGAATGATTTTCTAAAAAAATTAATATAGTGACTTTTGACAATTAATGTTTGATGTACATTTAACTTGAAATAAACAAACACTCATCTCAAACTCCTCACAGGAAAAGAATTTGTCAAGAAACGCCATAACTAACCGTTGGAAGGACAGCGAGTGAGGGGGTTTCCATCTCGTGATAACTCTCTTTTTGACGTCCACAGGTCCAGCCAAGAGAACCAATTATTTGCACCTTGCTTGAACCTGGCAAGACAGAAGGATAGACAGAAAACTAGCCACAATCTCGCAGAATCCAGCAACCCTTGGACACTGCCCCAGGCCCTGGAAGAAGGCCCTTGTCCCGAATCTGTAAAACTAACATTAAATCAGACTGAAATTTATGAGAAAGAGGGCCACTTTAGTTCAGCCGACTTATCCAGGGGGTGAAAACCCTCTTCAGAGCTTTAAATGAGGTCCGACATGTCCATTTTGATTCACATTTGATAGAGCTGAAGTTGGCTGAATGATAAATATTTACTTTACATTTACAGCTACATTTGCGGCAATGTTGACCCACGATCGCAATTCAAACAAAGTCAGCAGTAGTGTTGTCAATAATGGTGTATTATGAGAAAGATATTATTCAAAATAGACTTTTTGAGCTTTTAACCACGATTCCACATTGTTTCTCATGAAAAACAGACTCTGAGTTCGGAATGGATACAGCCACAGGAACTTCGGGTACAAACATGTACTGTAACTCCGCCCCTTCTGTCTAAAAGCTCTTAGTCCTGTAATAGTATGATGTCATTGTACTACTGTGACATCACCCTCAACTAAAGTATTACCAAACAAAAATAACCCATAGAAAAAATAAATCGACAATTTAAAAGTAAAAGATGTGTCTGCTCCCTCTGGTGGTAGCATAGGGAGTTACAGTCAGAACGCATTTTTTTACCCTTCATACTAGTTTCATTATATATATTTTTACTCAAGATAGTACTTCACATTCAGAAACATTTTTATTTTTATAAGTCCTTTAAATTAAAGGACTTATTTAAAGTCCTTTAATTTACGTGGTGAAGCGGTGCAGAGAGGACTGGGCGGCAGTCGAAGGCGGAGACCTCGGCGACCCAGTCCGCACACACAACATCTGGCTCTTGGGACGTGGAACGTCACCTCACTGGGGGGGAAGGAGCCCGAGCTCGTGGGGGAGGTTGAGCGATACCGACTAGAGATAGTCGGCCTCACCTCCACACACAGCTTGGGCTCTGGAACCCAACTCCTTGAGAGGGGTTGGACGCTCCACTTTTCTGGAGTTTCCCGCGGGGAGAGGCGGCGAGCTGGGGTGGCCATTCTCATTGCCCCCCATCTCAGCCGCCACGTGTTGGAGTTCTCCCCGGTGAATGAGAGGGTCGCGTCCCTCCGCCTCCGGGTGGGGGACAAGTCTCTCATTGTTGTGACGGCCTACGGGCCTAACAGCAGTGTAGAGTACCCGGCCTTCTTGGAGTCCTTGGGAGGGGT